TGAAATTATTACCATAATTAACTAATTAACATGCCCATATCACATAGTTATAATTTTCCTGTGTGTTGTGGTGAGAACACTTAAAATCTACTTTCTTAGCAAACTCAAATATACAACGCGTTGTTATTAACTATAGTCACTTTGTTGTACATTAGGTCTCCAGAACTTATTCAATCTATAACTGAAAGTTTGTGTCCTTTGACTAGTATCTCCCAATTTCTCCTAAGCCCCCAGCCCCTGAACCTCCATTCTACTTGCTGTTACTATGGACTTGACTTTTACAGATTGCACACATACGTGATATTGTGCAGTATTTGTTTTCCTGCGTCTATTTTACTTCACTTAGTATAATGCCCTTCAGGTTCATCCATGTTGTCACAAATGGAAGGATTTCCTTCTTTTTCAAGGCTGAATAATATTCCATTGTGTGTGCGCATCACATTTTCTTTATCCCTCTATCTGTCGACAGATATGTTTCCATATCTTGCTACTGTGAATGATGCTGCAACGAACATGGGAATGAAACATCTCTTTGAGATAGATTTCAATTCCTTTGGATATAGACCCAGAAGTGGGATTGTTGGGTCATATGGTAGTTCTATATTGAATCGAGACTGGCTCATTTAGATAGGAGTGTGGAACTTACAAGATCATACAAATTTCAGAGCCAAAGTTGCCATGTGAGGGCATCTATTTGGGAGCCAGTAATGCAATGTAAAGCAGAACAACCTAGTCTCTAAGAGAAGCAGATGAATGCAGTCAATGAAGAGAAAGAGAGAATAGAAGACCATAGGCCTTGAAATCCCAAAGAGAAAGAGAGGGAGTCAGCGGCTGCCTTGGCTCTGACTGCTTTGCGATCCCTTATTTCAGCCCAGTATTAGGTCTAGTTACCACTTCTGTTCTTGAGTTCCCGGCAGTTCTTCTGAGTCTTTATAATAAATCCACATCTACCTAAGTGGCTTTCTTTCTTTCTTTGTCCTTGACAGCACTGTAATGTGCCTAATTCTGTTCTCTCCTTCCTAATATTCTCAGCCTAACAAAACCACGTGCCTTCCACATCAGGAACACACGCATGTGTAGCAGAGATGCTTATTTAACACACTACAGAAATAGACCCAGAAAAAGTAGGTTTCTTATTTTTTTTAGAGTTTCACCTGTGTATTAGCTATCTTTACTGCATAACAAAATACCCCAAAATGTAATCACTTAAAACAATAATAAAAGTTATCTCCTAATTTCTGTGGGTCAAGAATTTGGGAGCAGCTGAGCAGGGTAGTTCTAGGTCCCTAGTCAGTCACTGGACTGGGTCTGGAAGATCTGCTGTCTAGGTCACATTGCTTCACATTAGGCATAAAATTTCAGCTCATCCTACTATTAGTGATGTTAAATTTTGTCAATTGGTTAACACCCACACCCCAGACTCACCATTGAAAAAAGGTGAATTTCCCCTTTGTAAATAACCTACAAACAACCTGTTCCCAACAACTCGTGATCTGATGGTTTGAACACCCTTGTAGTCTTTGCCTGAATTATTTATTTCACTGTGGGCTGCAAAAATGGCATTCTAATTATTCTATTCTGCATTTATTAGCTGACACACATCTGTAAAGGAGAACTTTCTTCTAAAAAAACAATTTTAATGAATCTTTCAGTGAACCATTGGGCAGTGGTTTGCTTCTAGTTTTGTTTAATTCAATTGGAAAGATCCTGACTTCTTAAAGGATTTGTTACCAATTATTGGAGCTATTCACCAGTATCTCAATAGCATCCCCAATATTTTCAGTTGTTTCTTTGCTTGGTTCCCAGGAGCTTTTTAAATCCAGGTAACGCACCATTGTAGGATTTGAGGTAAGGGTGGGCTAGAGGTTCACCATTGTATGGCAGAATGGAAGAAAAAGTACTAGGTGGAAATCAAGAAGCAGCACAACACCTTGACCACACCAGTCCTCAGGAAGATCAGTTTTGGAAAGCATCCTTGTGGAAGTTGAGGATCGAGAAATTAGTTCCCATAAAACTTGCCTGTGTGCTCTGGGACCCCTTAGAAAGTTTTGTCTACCCAGTCTGAAGACCTGCTGTGCAGGACCAAACACACTGAACAACCTTTGGTTAATGACAAGGGAGGCAGAAATAAGAGAATGTCAAGAATGGCTTTCAAAACATAACCTGAATTTGAAGCTTTGTTGTCTTGATGCACACTCTTATTTTGAATTTCAGAAGCTGGATAGATACTCTTTCTTTCCCTTCCTTTTGTAAGTGTTAAATGGTACCATACTTCCTATCCCTAGGGCAAATTCATTCTGTAGGCAAGAAATTCATTCTTATTAATCATTTTCAAAATATTTCTCTAGCTACACAAGTATTGCAGGGTTTTATGGGTTTGAATGGAAGACAACTGTCTCTTTGTCTTCTCCCAAATGGTTAGGGATAAGTTTTGTGATTACAAACTTAGTATTTTTTTAAACAGGATTAGTACTTATATAACATGCTTTATAGCAATTCTTACATTCTGATTCCTTGTGAAGTTATTTTATCACTAAGGCCATGATGTACACATGCAATCCTCCTAAAAGGAATGACTAATTTGGCCTTTTTTTGGGTCTCAATAATTTAAAGCAATTTTTTTCAATTTCTTCTGTAAAAGCACCATAGCAATGAATCAAATCACATTAAATTGGAAAGTTATTTTAGCCTAGTTGATGATTCATGATAGAATAGTATAGTATAGTGTGCCTACCCTGGAGTCAAGATTAGTTGCAAATCCTAGCTCTCACACAAACTAGCTGTGCAGTTTGGGGCATATTACTTACCTCTCGAAGCCTTAGTGTACTCATCTGCAAAACAGGTATGTTAATAATACCACCTGCCTTGTGGTTTGATAGAAGGATTGAATGATATCATGTACTAAAAACCTGGCACATGATAAATGTGAGCTGTTTTGTCTTTGGTGTTGTTATTGACTAAGAGGAGAGATGATAGATATCATCTATCTATCTATCACCAGCCTTCTGGTTTTCTGACAGTTTCTTCAAACACATATCAGCTTTCCTGACAAAGGAATTTTCTGTAAGTGGCAAGTATTGGAATTAACAGAGTTGCATTTCTCTGTGAGTCTTATATAGAGAAACTAGAACTAACGTGACTCTTCTCCTAAAATAAAAGGAATAATATGTCTTAAGCTGTGGATGTTGAGCCAGGAAGGAACTTCAATTTCTGGAAACATTCCAGCTCCCCTGCTACCTCTTTTCTTATGGTTTACATTTCTGCACATTGCAAGTGTGAATTTCTCCCCTGAAACATAAATATTCAAAATTGCCGTAGTTAGGATTCTGAGTTAAAAAGCATTACTTATATACCAGTCTTATGAGACAAATTTATACCTGGTTTAAATTTCATTTGGCATAGTCCAAATGTTATCCAAGGAATTAACCTTATTAATCAAATTTATTTTATTGAAAATTATTTTGTAATTCACATTAAAAAATATTTTTCCTTTATCCTGTAAAAGTGTAAAACATTTAAAAATTGTTCTTAGTGTCACTATCAGGTGTGGATCTAAAACATTTCCCAGTGAAGGCTGTAGGGCTTTGATGAATAGCTTCACAAAAGTCAGAAGTCCCAGCCTGAGCAGACATCCGTTTCTCGCGTTCTTCCCACTGCTCCGTGAAGGAACTCCACAGACATTCTATGAAGCTGTCATTTTCATTCAGTTGCACCTAAACAGACTCTTAAGAAGCTGTGGAGGATGGAGGGAGTTACCATCGCAGTATCCATACTAATTCCTAGAATCCTTTCAAGACTTAGGGTCGGCCACAATTCAGTAAGGAAAGGGCCCGTTAAGTCAATTTGGCTCTGAAAATGCTAATTCAAAGTCCTCCTCAGCAATTCAGCCCTTTTCCCTCTGCCTTTCTGTAGCCAGCTGGGTCCCATGGTGACCGGTTCTGAAAGAAATCATCCCCTTCAGCAGTTACCTAGCACCATGGCAACCGAGACGTCAGCAAAGCAGGATGGACCCCGGAACAAAACAGCTCCTACCAGGCTCCCTCCCGGCCACTCTATTGCTACCCTGCCTGAGGCCTAGGGATGGGGCTAAAGACGTGCAGACATACACACGCTAGAAATCCTGTGTGTTCCCATGGTTCTTCCCCTGAGCACAGATACATGGGCATATAATAAGTTATGTTATGAGAAACACAGCATATTTAAAGAGTGGGGATGGGTGCTGGGGTGAGGACAGGGAGGTAGGTACAGGATGGCGTTTGGGTTTAATGATATATAAAAATTACATTTGTATTTAGAAGGTAACAAACAATAAATTGACAGAGAGGGAAACTGGGCCCCTAAATATATGGCTGGCCTGATTTCTATTTAGACAGAAGACCTTAGGGAAATATTTTTATCTACCTGAGAGTTAAATTGACCAAGGGGGAATAAAAGGCTTTAGTGAACACGAAGTGGGTGTAATGCTGTCCGTGGTGCTGAACACTCTGTGAGTCCGCGGTGCCCGGGGGGCTTCGGAGGCTGGTTAGCGAACACCTTGCCAAGTGAGTGCACTGATAAGAAAGAAAGGGGCTGAGGATAAAGAGTCCTTTCTCTCCCTACTAAGCAACTCTGAATGCCCAGGGTAAAGCGTGCAGATGAAAAATAAAACAGCAGATAGAGCGGATAAGGCTGGAGGTTTCGATGGTTGAATCTTCCCTTTTCATGCGGAGATTTTTGGTCAGAGCCAATCGGATCTGAGATTTCTGCTGCTTTGCTCCTGAAAGGAACAGTGGGGGAAGGGAGAGAGAAAATGGCCACATTCTCCCCTGGAGCCACATGATCCATTCCCCATGTGACACATTCCAGAGCCTTGGAAAGGAGAAGGGAGGGGCACCAAGAGAGTGGGGCTGGGGGTGGGAAGATGGTTTAACAGTCTACCCTGCACAGCGTCATCTTGTCTCCTTACCAGGAAGCGGGCTGTGAGCCAAGGGAAAGGCAGAAGACAGATATGACTGTGTTCCCAAGATTTCCTGGTGGTTTATGGCATTCTCCAAACTCCTATGCAAGGGCTATTCCTGACCAAGAAGACCCAAGGAGACTGGCTCTAAAATCAAGTCCTGATGGAGGTATGTGCTAGTGGCCCCGCAGTATTGTGGTTGAAATTTGTCTCAGAGGACACAATACCTTCTTTTTTTCCAGGCAACTTGCAGATTTTTGTCTTGGTTTATTTGCTGCTTAGGGACTTTAGATTTGTGATAGGTCCAGAAAAGATGCATAGGTAGTTCTGCAAAATGAATAATTCACCAGAGGAAGTGCCAGTTGAAGAAAAATTAAATGGAAATTCTGTATAGTGATAATTAATAAAACAATTAATTGATGAAAATGATTTTTTTTCTTTGAGTCCTGGAAAGAGGAAAAAATATTACTGAAACCAACTAGATTTCATTGTCACTTCAATAAAACCCTGTTTCATCCCTTTTCAGCTGCTTATTCTGTGCTCCTGTTCCCAGAGGTTATTGGCAGTGGCTTAGGGAGCGGGAGTGGGCAGGCGTGCTGTTTCTTTGTGCTGTGCCATCGTCTTCATTCTGATGTTCCTGATACCAGGAGTGCTTGTGATTGTTTCCAGCTCTGGTTTTGGACAGTAGGCAGCCACCAGATTTCAAATCTTATAGAATAGCTACCAAGAGGGCCCCCAGCAAGTTCTCAAAGGACTCTTCCAAAGTTACAGGCTAAAATAATCTGCCATGCCCTCAAATCTTGGAATCTTCACCCATTCCTACCCAGCATAGAGGAAGAAGCTAGCAAATTTAAATTTTTTGCCTTTATTTTACAATACTTAAACAAAGTTCTTGCTCCACAGGGTCCAGCAGAAGTAAGGCCTGCTTGAGTGCAGTTGGCAGGGTAATAATATGGATGTAATAATTTATAGTTTTAATTTGAACATTTCACCTAACATGTCCCATGGTATGTGTGAGTGTGATATTGTTATGTTACAGAATTCCATGCTTATGATCTTGTAATAAAAAAGGGGCATTATTTGTGCCAGACCCTGTATGTAAGGCATGTGTAAGCACAAATAATCAGTCATTTAATCCTTATAATAACCCTCTGAAGGAGGTGCTATGAGTGCCCACATTTTGGTAATGAAGATACTAAGGCACAGAGAGGTTAGGGACCTCTCCCAAGGTCACAGAGATAGTAAATATTAGAAACAGGATTTGGATCCAAGAAACTTGACCCTAGAGTTCATGATCTTAACCACTGAACTATGCTGCTTCTCCATTTGTGTTATTTCAAATGATTTCAGCAGTTCATTTCATTACAAATTTTGTTCAGCTGATGCTACTACAAGATTGAGTGAGCTTGCCTGGCTAAAACAGAACCCCAGTGAAATCTATATTTAATCTTGAATTATCCCAGTAGTCACATTCTGTACCCCCAAATAATCCAGTAAGTACTTGCCTGTTCTATTCCTCTTATACTGTATAGATATGTAGTAGTAAGACACTGTGTTACTATGGTGACCAAATGGTGTCTAAAGGAAAAAGAGAAATCTACAATTACATCATGCTTGATTTTTTAATAATCAAACCTAGAAATTCTTTCAGCCTTAAAACCTAGTAATAAGACCAGTCTACACATGTTCTCTTTAAAAGCACGTCCCTATTTTATCTTTAAAATAAAAGAAATAGATTAAAAACTTCTAAAATTTTTTATATAAACTATGATAGCAAAATTACTATATTTATTGCTTTAAAATATTATTATCATACTTTAAAACAAGGGAATGGATCTCTTTGCAAATTATTTTAGGTTTTTAATGGAGAAAGAGGAAGTCTTTTTTAAACTTCTGGAAATTCCTGAGACATAAAGATTGTCTTCCATTGGTCTGTGTGGTTTCCCTTCTGGCCCTAGACAACACAAGCTGACTGATCTCATTCTTACATGCTGTAGGAAAACTAAGAATTTACTAGGTCAAAGATACAAAGAGGAAGATTAAGGATAGGCATCTAAAATTTGTGAAATTTTTCACTAAATGAGGTGAAGAATTTCACTTCAGTGAATCCCTTCAGGGTTTCATTGAAGGACACTTTGAAGAGTAATCATGCCCCTTGCAGTATTGAGCTTTAGTTAGTCCTTCAGATTGAGCCTTTCATCCCTGCTGAAATCTACATTTCCCTGGGGCAAGTAATATTTTCACACTAATATAATCATCTGAAGGGAGCTTCTGGTACCCTCCCATCTTCAGATTGCTAGCTCTTAGCTCCAGGCCTGGTTTATGGTAAGCTCTCAGTAAATACTGGCAGATGAAGAATGGGAAGACTCAGGACTGACAGCATTCTGCTGGAGGCAGTTTGGGGGTCCACACCTGTTTTGTGTTGCATGTGTTTATAGGGAGGAGAGTGAGGGATAAATGTGCAGCAGGATAAAACTTGGCAACAGTCAAATTTATGCCTAAATTATATGTATACTAGTCAGACTGACCCTGGAACATGGCAAGAGGTAGCCATAAATTCTTGCCTGGGGATTGCCAATATCCCTGGCATTTTATTTATATTTAGAATGAAGGTCTTTTGACATTTTATTTTTGAAATTAAATCTATTGGGGTGACATTGGTTAATAAGATTATATAGGTTTCAAGTGTAGCTTTCTATGACACGTGATTTGTATATTGCATTGTGTGCCTGCCACCCAGTCAGATCATCTGTCACCAGACACTTGGCCCCCTTCGCCCTTTACTACTCCCCAGTGCCCTTTCCCTCTGGTAACCACCAAGCTGTTGCCTGTGTCTATGTCTTTTGATATTTTTGTTTACATCTAGATGGAGGCACGACTAGCAATCTCATTTTGCTCTGATGTTTTGTCTGGCACCATTTCCCAACATTGAAATAGTTAACTTTGGGTTGAAAAGTAATGTCTTGAGAAGGTCAATTTCTTCCCCAGGCCTTCCTCTCCTAACTGTGGACCCCAGTGCCCAGAACATTGCACCAAGAGCTCACAGAACTTCAGGATTTCTCCCAAGAGAACCCTGGGATTTTCAGTGTCAGAGTGGGTTAGAGCCAGACTGCCTATCCCAAACTGTTTGCAGCTAGGACCTGAGCCTAAACCATTGTCTCCATGCATTTGAAAGGTTGCTTAGGATTTGAATTCAAGTTAACAGACTAATTAGAGTTAAAAAAGTCACACTTCTTGATAATGTATGCACATATAATTTTTTCTATTATTTCTCTATCTAATTAAGTTGTTAAGGAAAGAAAGAGTGGGGCTTGTGAATAAGGTACATGTCCTTGAATCCTATTCACTTATCCCCCCTACCTCCAGCATTTGTTACCTGCAGAGTGAGCTGTGCAAAAGCAACAGCCCCGCTGGAAGCACTGGAGCTGCAGGCCCACTGCACCGAGGCAGGACTTCCCAGATAAGCAGGTAGGCTCGTGCTCACAAGAGGCGTCCATCTGGAAGCCTAGCTGGGCTTCATAGTCATCCCTCTCAAATTTAAAAAGGGCCATCTACTCAACCAGCTGAACAAGAGAAGACAGGAGAGAGAGAGAAAAAGTGGAGAGGCCACCCTTGAGGGGAGGCTTTGCCAAGTAGGCTTTCAATTTGGAGGCAGCAAGTGAAAAAGGAAATAAGAAGAGGGACAATGCACATGGGTAAAGGGTATGAGAAGATCATGCCTCTGTCCTGCCTTGTGGTCACAGTAACCTGCCCACTGCTAGTAAATCTGCCAAATGAATCATGCCCCGCCTGCAGAATTATCAAATTATTTCCTAGGATATATACATAGGGAGGAGGAAGGACCAGAGTGGATGCAATTTCCCCTCTATGAACCAAAGCAAAAAAATGAGAAGTGATGAGAGGTGGCCAATCCAAGAGGACAGTTTAAAAAGCAAAGGGGATTTACCATCATGAATATATTTCCCTGTTTGAGGAGTCACTTTTCCTTGGCTAAACTTTTAAAGCATTCATCAGCATACCTTCTTAGGCCCTGGGTGTCTGTCATGTTTAATCCTGATGGAAACTTTATGATATGCATTATGAGCCCCAATTTCTGACCAGGAAACTTAAGCTCAGAAAGATTAGCTAGTCTAAAAATATATGGCACAAAAATATATATGTATTAACCATGCTAAACATATGCAAATATACATTTAATCATATTTTCAGTGATATATATATATATATAGGTGCATAATTTGTCTATAAAAATATACATTAATGCAAATTCAGATCTAACTTTTGCTCCATGAACTTGAAGGTCGCTTTCTTGGAAAACCCTGATGTGGACCATGGTGCAGATCAAAATTTGCCCGGAGTTGATGTGAATTTGATGTGAATTTGATGTGATGCAAATGTAAATGCTTCTGAAAAAGAAGAGTTCTTAGTAACTCCCCAGCCAGTGCTTATACTTGGTTCTTAACGAGTCTTTCACCTTTTTGAATAGTTTTAAATCGCATTTCTTATACAGCTCTTTGCTTTGAGTGTAAGGAGTCTGCTCTTTGCCTCCTTACCTCTTTCCTACTTAAGTCACACTACTAGAGATGTTGATACTGAAACCAGAGCTTGGAAATGAAACCGAACATTTACCTCCAAAACAACTGTTTTCCTCTAACTCTGTGAGCACACAGCAGGTAGTCAAAAAAATTTTTGTTGTAATGAGTTAAATTGAGTGTGGCAAGGTATAAATTCCTTGGCCTGACAGTTTTCTTCAGAATTCAGAGAACCTCATATTGGGAAGAGAGGCAGAGAATTGGTGGAGGACAATCGGTGTTCTAGTATTTCTCCCCGTGGAAAACATAGGAGGTGCATAGAATGGAAAGCAAACACAGGTGGCAAGTCTTTGACCAGACCACTTCTTGCAAGGAATCGTCACTAAAGTATTGTTGGCACACCCAGGATAATTATTGAGGAGGGATTGGCTGCCCCCCTAGGTAAAATTTGGTCCCTAGGACTCTTTTGGAGATACATCCTACTCTTCTTGGATGTCAAAGGCTCACAGTGCTGGTCTCCAGCAGCCCCAAACCACTTTCCTCTCTTCATCAAAATGCATTCTCAGTATGAGCTCTCTGCTAGGTGAAGGTGGTAGGTTATAAGTTAAATGAATGTGTGTTGTTATCACAATGTCTA